CAACTGAGCTGGATGGTCATTTCGTTTTTAATAAATATAAGATTATCTTAATAGTTTATTATTATTATAATATAATGTATGTTTATAATTTTTCTAGCCACTAATAGTGTTTACATATACCCTGTAGATATAACTACTCAAACTTCATGACCTCAAGGGAGAACAATACTCTTTCTACCACTTAAGTCGTTCAATGCGTTTAATAAATATAATATTAAAATATATCTTTAATGATTTATTCATTAATCATTTCATCTATCATTCTTTATATATATTGATATCATGTTAAAAATATATATTTAACATTTGATTGAATTGTCATTTTGACCTTTGTTTTTTTAATATTTAACCATTATAGTTTCATTTTGGGTCAAGGTGATCTCACTATATATGAAAAATCATTAATTAAGTATTAACATTTTAAGATGACACATATACAATAATACTAATGTGACATAATATAATAATATTAATTTTGTAAAACTTGTTCATAATGTCAAAAACATATTACTAACATTTCACTGAATTTTCATTTTATCTTTTATTTTTTGAAAGTATCCTAATCTTAAAATGTTAATTTTTTTTATCAAAATAATATTTTTTTCTAATGAAATTTTAATTTATTAAAGATCAATTTATCTTACTAATTGGCAAAACCATATGAGATGGATTGTTGACATGATAATGTTATATTAACGTGATATATCATATGGTGATAACGTGATATCAACATGTATGTAAAAAGAATTATGCTATTAAATAAAAATAATTTAATAAAATAATTTTTATTGACGTAGTAGTGTCATATTATTATTTACTCAGATGTGGATATGTGACATTAGCGTTTCTTCTCATATAATTTAATCCAATCATCAAAATACATTAATCATATATCGATGATTTTATTATTCAGATAAATTATTTGATAAAAATAAAATTATTTAATTTAAATATTCTAGAAAAATAAAGGTTTAATATAAAAATTGCTCAAATTATACCTCATTTTTCATTTAGATGTCCAAACTTTTTATGGTTAATATAGGTGGATAACGTTACAAACGTTATCATTCTAAGTGTTTAATCCATAAATGCTGTTAAAAATTATGTTAGCTAACACGTGTCGTGTTTATAGAATTTTAAAAAATTTATTTAAAATAAAAAAACTTAAAATTATATTTAAAATCCCAACATTTCCTTAAATCTAAAAACCCTCAAAATACTAAAAACTTTAATTTTAAACCCCAAATTTCAGCTGCTATCATTGTCGCCCTAGTCATTGTCATCGACAAGTCATCGCCACTGCTCCAATTTCCTAAATCCTGAACTTAAATCCCTAAAATCTCAAATATTCAAATTTTTAAAAATTTCCTAAATCCTATTGATCGGCCATTTGAAACAATAATAACAGTGATAGCCGATCCTTTAACCACCCATTGAATGATCGTTTAAATGGCTGGTCGTTTGACATAGGTTTGCACCTACTGTATTTGTGATTAAGAGAAGGGAAGGGGAATGACACGTAGGGATGGGCATGGGTCAGGTTAGGTCGGGTTTTTGGTCCACCCGACCCGAAAACAAGAGAGCCTCCACTTGAGACCCGACCCGACCCGACCAAAACAAGGTTTCACCCGACCCGACCTGAATATATGATATAGAAACCCGACCCGAAATAATAATAAAAATTATTTATATTCAATAAAAACAATGACTTAATTGAAAAAAATTATATATAGAGGGGTATTATTGTAATTATCCCTAACAATATAGGGTAAAATTATATATATTTTTCGGGTCGGGTCGGGTCGGATTTTTTCACCATGAACCCGACCCGACCCATGTCAGATAATAGAATTTTATCTGCCAATATGAACCACACTTAAAACAGTAATATTTGTAATGTTAGACAATTGTATTTGTAGAAAAAAAAGTTTAGACACCTAAATAATAAAAGAAGTATGATTTGGATATTTTTTATATTAAAAATATAGGTGGCTAACGTTACAAACGTTACCATTCTAAGTGTTTGATCCATAAATGCTGTTAAAAATTATGTTAGCTAACACATGTCGTGTTTATAGAATTTTAAATTTTTTATTTAAAATAAAAAACTTAAAATTATATTTAAAAACCCAACATTTTCTTAAAGCTAAAAACCCTCAAAATACTAAAAACTTTAATTTTAAATCCCAAATATCAGCTGCTATCATTGTTGCCCTAGTCATTGTCATCGACAAGTCACCGCCACTACCACTTAGGTGGTGTTTGTTTTGTAGAAGTAAAATGTCTGCAGTCTGCGGATCACATCTGCATGCATCTACAGCAGAAGAGGTGCACCAAAAGTCTGCAGTCTGCAAGAAGAAGACTGTTTATTTTTTAATGTCTACAGACTGCTAAAATAAACTGAAATATAAATAAATTGATTTTTTAAACTTAAAAGAGTTTTGCAATACTGATATTTAAATAATTTTAGTTTTACAATACTGAAATTTAAATAATTCATACAACTACAATAATAATTTTTTTAGAAAAACAAACATCACCTTATTAATTCTATTATAAGTCTCACATAATCACATGTATTATTAGTTTTATAAGTTTTATAGAATAAAATTTAGAAATAATCATTAAATTATATGATTTTTTTTAAATATGCGATTATGTAATACTTTTAATTTTTTAAATATATATTCATAATTTATTTTTATAATTATATGATATTTTTAGAAAATATTTTTAATTTATCAAATTATTTTATGATTATTTTTTATTTAATTGTGATTATATTTTAAATTTTTAAAAACATAATTTATAATTTTTTATATTTTAAAATCTTAATTATCAAACAATGAAATCATTTTTTATTAAGCAATATGGTTTAAATACTTACATTTTGTATAAAAAGTTTAAATATAATTTAAAAATAACAAATCCAAAAAACTTAATATTTAATTTATTTAAAAAATTAATATTAAAATTAATATCTATAATATAATATTAAAAAATAATATTTAATTTATTTAAAAAATAATATTAAAATTAAAATCAAATATAATATAAAACCTCTTTGAAGAGGTTAGAAGACGTCTGCAGACATAAGACCACGTCTGTGCCGCGCAGACCACGCGCAGACGTTAGAAGAGTTTATGTCTTCTAAAAAACAAACAGTCTGCGAAGCTCAATGTCTGCACGTGGTCTGCGTGGCGCAGACATAAGAGCTTTACAGACCTTACACAGTAAAAACAAACACCAGTACACCACCTTAGTGATCATCCCTCGCTCCAATTTCCTAAATCCTGAACTTAAATCTCTAAAATCCCAAATATTCAAATTTTTAAAAATTTCCTAAATCCTATTGACCGGCCATTTGAAACAATAATAACAGTGACAACCGATCCTTTAACCACCCATTGAATGATCGTTTAAATGGCTGGTCGTTTGACATAGGTTTGCACCTACTGTATTTGTGATTAAGAGAAGGGAAGGGGAATGACACGTAGGGATGGGCATGATTTAGGTTGGGTCGGGTTTTTGGTCCACCCGACCCGAAAACAAGAGAGCCTCCACTTGAGACCCGACCAAAACAAGGTTTCACCCGACCCGACCCAAATATATGATATAGAAACCCGACCCGACCCGAAATAATAATAAAAATTATTTCTATTCAATAAAAACAACGACTTAATTGAAAAAATTTATATATAGAGGGGTATTATTGTAATTATCCCTAATAATATAGGGTAAAATTATATATATTTTTCGGGTCGGGTCGAGTTGGATTTTTTCACCATAAACCCGAACTCGACCCGACCCATGTCAGATAATAGAATTTTATCTTCCAATATGAACTACACTTAAAACAGTAATATTTGTAACGTTAGACAATTGTATTTGTAGAAAAAAAGTTTAGACACCTAAATAATAAAAGAAGTATAATTTGGATATTTTTTATATTAAAAATATAGGTGGCCAACGTTACAAACGTTACCATTCTAAGTGTTTGATCCATAAATGCTGTTAAAAATTATGTTAGTTGACACATGTCGTGTTTATAGAATTTTAAATTTTTTATTTAAAATAAAAAACTTAAAATTATATTTAAAAACCCAACATTTTCTTAAAGCTAAAAACCCTCAAAATACTAAAAACTTTAATTTTAAATCCCAAATATCAGCTGCTATCATTGTCGCCCTAGTCATTGTCATCGACAAGTCACCGCCACTGCCACTTAGGTGGTGTTTGTTTTGTAGAAGTAAAATGTATGCAGTCTGCGGATCACATCTGCATGCATCTACAGCAGAAGAGGTGCACCAAAAGTCTGCAGTCTGCAAGAAGAAGACTGTTTGTTTTTTAACGTCTACAGACTGCTAAAATAAACTGAAATATAAATAAATTGATTTTTTAAACTTAAAATAGTTTTGCAATACTGATATTTAAATAATTTTAGTTTTACAATACTGAAATTTAAATAATTCATACAACTACAATAATAATATTTTTAGAAAAACAAACATCACCTTATTAATTATATTATAAGTCTCACATAATCACATGTATTATTAGTTTTATAAGTTTTATAGAATAAAAATTAGAAATAATCATTAAATTATATGATTTTTTAAATATGCAATTATGTAATACTTTTAATTTTTTTAAATATATATTCATAATTTATTTTTATAATTATATGATATTTTTAGAAAATATTTTTTAATTTATCAAATTATTTTATGATTATTTTTTATTTAATTGTGATTATATTTTAAATTTTTAAAAACATAATTTATAATTTTTTATATTTTAAAATCTTAATTATCAAACAATGAAATCATTTTTTATTAGGCAATATGGTTTAAATACTTACATTTTGTATAAAAAGTTTAAATATAATTTAAAAATAACAAATCCAAAAAACTTAATATTTAATTTATTTAAAAAAGTAATATTAAAATTAATATATATAATATAATATTAAAAAAATAATATTTAATTTATTTAAAAAATTAATATGAAAATTAAAATCAAATATAATATAAAACCTCTTTGAAGAGGTTAGAAGACGTCTGCAGACATAAGACCACGTCTATGCCGCGCAGACCACGCGCATACGTTAAAAGAGTTTCTGTCTTCTAAAAACCAAACAGTCTGCGAAGCTCAATGTCTGCGCGTGGTCTGCGTGGCGCAGACATAAGAGCTTTACAGACCTTACACAGTAAAAACAAACACCACCTTAGTGATCATCCCTCGCTCCAATTTCCTAAATCCTGAACTTAAATCTCTAAAATCCCAAATATTCAAAATTTTAAAAATTTCCTAAATCCTATTGACCGGCCATTTGAAACAATAATAACAGTGACAGCCGATCCTTTAACCACCCATTGAATGATCATTTAAATGGCTGGTCGTTTGACATAGGTTTGCACCTACTGTATTTGTGATTAAGAGAAGGGAAGGGGAATGACACGCAGGGATGGGCATGGGTCAAGTTGGGTCGGGTTTTTGGTCCACCCGACCCGAAAACAAGAGAGCCTCCACTAGAGACCCGACCCGACCCGACCAAAACAAGGTTTCACCAGACCCGACCCGAATATATGATATAGAAACCCGACCTGACCCGAAATAATAATAAAAATTATTTCTATTCAATAAAAACAATGACTTAATTGAAAAAAAATTATATATAGAGGGGTATTATTGTAATTATCCCTAACAATATATGGTAAAATTATATATATTTTCGGGTCGGGTCAGATTTTTTCACCATAAACCTGAACCCGACCCGACCCGACCCGACCCATGTCAGATAATAGACCTTTATCTGCCAATATGAACCACACTTAAAACAGTAACATTTGTAACGTTAGACAATTGTATTTGTAGAAAAAAAGTTTAAACACCTAAATAATAAAAGAAGTATAATTTAGATATTTTTTTATATTAAAAATATAGGTGGCTAACGTTACAAACGTTACCATTCTAATTGTTTGATCCATAAATGCTGTTAAAAATTATGTTAGCTGACACATGTCGTGTTTATAGAATTTTAAATTTTTTATTTAAAATAAAAAACTTAAAATTATATTTAAAAACCCAACATTTTCTTAAAGCTAAAAACCCTCAAAATACTAAAAACTTTAACTTTAAATCCCAAATATCAGCTGGTATCATTGTCGCCCTAGTCATTGTCATCGACAAGTCACCGCCACTGCCACTTAGGTGGTGTTTGTTTTGTAGAGGTAAAATGTCTGTAGTCTACGGACCACATCTGCAGACATCTACAGCAGAAGAGGTGCACCAAAAGTCTGCAGTCTGCAAGAAGAAGACTGTTTGTTTTTTAACGTATACAGACTGCTAAAATAAACTGAAATATAAATAAATTGATTTTTTAAACTTAAAAGAGTTTTGCAATACTGATATTTAAATAATTTTAGTTTTACAATACTGAAATTTAAATAATTCATACAACTACAATAATAATTTTTTTAGAAAAACAAACATCACCTTATTAATTATATTATAAGTCTCACATAATCACATGTATTATTAGTTTTATAAGTTTTATAGAATAAAATTTAGAAATAATCATTAAATTATATGATTTTTTTAAATATGCAATTATGTAATACTTTTAATTTTTTTAAATATATATTCATAATTTATTTTTATAATTATATGATATTTTTAGAAAATATTTTTTAATTTATCAAATTATTTTATGATTATTTTTTATTTAATTGTGATTATATTTTAAATTTTTAAAAACATAACTTATAATTTTTTATATTTTAAAATCTTAATTATCAAACAATGAAATCATTTTTCATTAAGCAATATGGTTTAAATACTTACATTTTGTATAAAAAGTTTAAATATAATTTAAAAATAACAAATCCAAAAAACTTAATATTTAATTTATTTAAAAAATTAATATTAAAATTAATATCTATAATATAATATTAAAAAATAAAATTTAATTTATTTAAAAAATTAATATTAAAATTAAAATCAAATATAATATAAAACCTCTTTGAAGAGGTTAGAAGACGTCTGCAGACATAAGACCACGTCTGTGCCGCGCAGACGTTAGAAGAGTTTCTGTCTTCTAAAAAACAAACAGTCTGCGAAGCTCAATGTCTGCGCGTGGTCTACGTGGCGCAGACATAAGAACTTTACAGACCTTACACAGTAAAAACAAACACCACCTTAGTGATCATCCCTCGCTCCAATTTCCTAAATCCTGAACTTAAATCTCTAAAATCCCAAATATTCAAATTTTTAAAAATTTCCTAAATCCTATTGACCGGCCATTTGTAACAATAATAACAGTGACAGCCGATCCTTTAACCACCCATTGAATGATCATTTAAATGGCTGGTCGTTTGACATAGGTTTGCACCTACTGTATTTGTGATTAAGAGAAGGGAGGGAGAATGACACGGGGGAGGGGCAAATGCTAGTGGGATTTTTATTATAAATATTTTTTAAATAACATTTTTATTTTTTTCAAAAATCAAAATTCTATAAGCCCATGTCAAATAATAGATTTTTATCTGTCAATATAAACCACACTTAAAACAGTAGTTTTGTAACGTTAGATATTTGTATTTGTAGAAAAAAAGTTTAGACACCTAAATAATAAAAGAAGTATAATTTGGAAATTTTTTATATTAAAATAAAAAATTATTATTTAATAAAACATTAATGCATAATTTTATATTACGTCCTTTCAATACTACACTATTATTTAGGAGATTTACATAAATATAATCTAAAAATAATTAATTATCAAAATAGTATATTGATTAATTCTCGATATATCACGTATCTTTGTTACGTAGTAAAAAGACGCATTCTACTAGTGCTTTATCAAGATGATATCCTAATTAGCAAATATATTTTATGCAAAAAGAACATGCTTGTGTGAGTGTATACTTGGAATGTGCTTTTTCTTTTTCGAAGTCATTGATGTCATTTTTTTCTTAATTTTTCATAGTTCTTATTAAGTAGTGTGATTGTTAGTCACATACATCCGCATTTGTTATTCCACGAAGGTCCTTCTTTGTCATCGATTCCGACACAACATATTAAAACCAATGTTGATGAAAGACAATGAGAATGAAGATCTTGATGAAGAGCAACCTATACGAAGAAATTTTGCTTGAATCAGACAATTATCATCATGTAGAATTCATTTGTGAAGAAGTTATCATTAGTTTATATTATTATTATTTTATTATTATAATAATTTTAATATAAATCTTTACATTATATTTGAATTAAATTTCAGATTTAGTTATTATATTCATTGCTATATTTTTTATGTTATATTCAAAATTTATTTTCAAATTCTATTTTATAGATCAATTCTTTAATTTAAAAAAAATTAAATGGAAAGATGCTCTACGTAAAAAGCACCTTCTAAGTGGAAAATCACATTAATAAAAGATGTTTTTTTCTTTTTACAAAAAAACGCCTTTAATAACTAGGATATCACCTCAATACTTTTTATTTTATAAAACGCAACTTCTTTTCATATAACAAAAATAGATATTAGATAAAAAAATAATCAACAATGAATATTATTTTGAGGATTAATTACTTTTTAGATGATGTTTGGATAAAATTGCGTATTATTTACCCCTCTTCTCCTGTGGAAAAAAAAAATAGCGTAACGGTAGAGTACAGCTTTCAGCTTTGCCACGAGACCCGGTCCCACCTGAATTCAAATGATAGAAAAGAAATAATATTACTGGGCTTTTAAATTTGAATCTGGCTATGGCTTCGCTTAACCCTCCCCCGACCAGCCCCTCACTCCTCTCTTGCTATGGCTTCGCTTAACCCTGGGATCCTTCTAAAGCTCCTGCAGTGCATGAACTCTCCCGCGCGCGTCACCGGCGACCACCGATCTGCTCTTCTCCAAGTAATTGGTATTGTCCCAGCTCTCGCCGGCTCCGACCTCTGGCCCAACCATGGTTTCTACGTTCAACTCTCCGATTCCCTCAACTCCACCTACGTCTCCCTCTCCGAGCGCGACACTGAATTAATCCTCTCCAACCGGCTCCAGTTGGGCCAGTTCGTCTACGTAGATCGCTTCCACTTTGACTCTCCCATGCCACGTGTCTCCGGCATACGCCCCATTGCAGGTCGCCATGCTTTCGTTGGCTCCCCTGACCCTCTAATCGCCCGCATTTCGTCTTCTAAAAGAGATTTCGTTATACAACCCGTTTCGCAATCCGAATACTCCATGGATCCCATTGCGGTTTACTTGTCTAATAAGAAATTTGATCAACAACAAACTTCAACTGAAAACAAGGATTCAGAAACTGAAAAGTCCAAAGGAAGGCAGCCTCTTGCGCCTAAAGATAATGTTAGAGTTAATGAAAATTTGGAGTGCGAATCCAAGGTTTCAGAAAAGCTTCCACAGAGGTTTTCGTCACCGGCCACCGCCAAACGTTCTGCTTCAGCTGTTAAAAAGACCAATGTGGCGGTTGTGCAAAGAGATCCATCTCCGGCTGGGAAAGGTAAGAGATCTGCGTCTCCTGTACCATCAAAATGCGTGGTACCAAGCCTGGTAGCATCCAAGGAAGAGAACAGGAAAGTGGCGAGAGAGCCGGCCATCATAGTACCGTCGAGGTATAGGCAACCTTCCCCTAATGGAAGGAAGCAGGCATCACCAAGTGCTCGAAGGGCATCACTTTCTCCAGGGAGGAGGTTATCCGGGGTATTTAAGGTTTCGCCGGCTGTTGGGGATTCGAAGAAGAAGATGGCAACGATTGTTGCTGGGATTTCAAAGGTGTCCGAAGCTCTGGTGGGGTCGGCAAAGAGTAGTAGGAAGGGCTGGGATGAGCAGCCAGAGAAAGGTTCAGGGGAGCACAAGGAGAAAGCTTCTGTGAAGTCTAAACCGGATCTGCAAGCAATTTTTCGGACTCAGGTAAATAAGTATCTTTCTTAATTTGTTAACTTTATGTTTATTTGGAAAATTCGAAGTTGATATGCAATTTGAGTTTGTGATAATCTTGTTATTCTCATTTCAACTTCAACTGAAATATCCCACAGTCGGCTTTGAGGAAGCAAGAATGAGAATGCCAAATTTTTATATAATAGATTTGTCCTTTTAAATTGAGTTGTAGGTGCAGTTCTCCATCTAGTTAACTTCCGGATTTTTTACATGATTTTCTTCAGGCGTCCATTTCAAGACGTTTAAGTGATGTACATAGTCAGAAATCCAATGACGAACATTCTTCAAGCAACGAGAAAACAAATGCCAGCCCACCCGAAAATGGTTCGGCCCCAGAGAAACCAACATGTGCGAGCGGAGCAGCTGGAATCACCCTTCATGAAAAGAAATGGACTGATGGCAGTGTTCTATGGGATACCATTTCTACTGACCTTGCAAAGCTTGGAAAGGTATGAGACAGTAAAGGAATTATCAAGGAGATAATCAAACCATTCTTTTAACTTCACAAATGCAAATTTATGTGTTTTGCTTTTCTGTTTGTTACCCATTTAAGATAGTGCTTTACTGCTTTTGTTTGATCAGTATTTCTTATTTAAGTTGCAGTGTTTTATATTATATCTTCTACTCTAAATTGACAAAGATGATGTGATGCATTTAGCTTGGTTTTAACTTCATTTATGTCTCTTCAACATTGGGTCGATAAGATCAATTCACTACCTGTCAAGGTCTCAATGATATTGAACTTTCATTATAAACATGTATAAGCTAATAGTTACTCTGTTTGTGTACAAGAACTAGCATCACCATTTATATCGCCATCATTGAACTAGTGGAGCACATGAACTAGTGCACTAGAACTTCATTATAAATACTTGACCCAATGATTTACGGAGATGAAATGGAAACAAAATATTCGGTTATCTGATTTGTTATGTAGCTGATTAACCCTTGAGATGAAAAAAGCTAAAGTCTTGCGAACTGAATTTGTATTTTCAATACTTCGTCTTAATGCAGGAGGCTATGCAAAGTAGAGTTCTTGCCTCCAAAGCTGCAGCAGAAGCATTGGAAGAGGCCATTGTTACCGAGTCTGTTGTCAGGAATTTAAGGTTAGGATTCACGCTAACATGCATATGCATGAAACATAAGGTGTTGCAATGTTCAGCATGTAAATGATGTGACATAACTTGACAGATCAATATTTCTTTTGACATCTCATATGGTCAGAAACTCAGATTTATCAGCTTAATTTATTTGGCATAAATAACTCATGCGTCATATTTTCTCAACAAAACTTCTATGGGCCTAATTTTGTGTCCCTCGTATTTTCCAGCATGTTTTCTGCACTCTCCTCAAAATCGAAGGCTGCCAATCCTTTGCCCACCATCGACAAATTTTTATTGATCTATGATGATGTTGTGAAGTTTACTGGGATTGGTGAGACTGTTGCAGCTAGCCACAACTCTGACACTGAAAACTCCTTTGTGGAGCACTCAAAATCTTCTCTATGGGTTGAAGTCGCACTGGCTACTGATCTTGAGATAGTCTCCCTTCTAAGCCCCCAAAACAATGAATCTCCATCAGCTTTGCAGAGGAGTTTGTCAAAAGTGCAACCTCATCATGCTTCACCCATAAACCAACTCAAAGATGATTCATTGCCACAGCAGGAACCTACTGCTACAATGTGGACCAGGGGTCAGGGAATGAAAGAGACGGTGTGTTTTGCACAGAACATAAAGTCCGATATGGAAATATGGTTTCTTTGCTTCATTGAGGAGTCCTTGGATGCCGGTTTCCGGATGATTGGAGAGTGTGCATCTGGCGGTAGTAAAGCATTACCGTTGGACTGTGGCTCCATTGCAGGTGTCTTATCACAGTTGAAACGTGTCAATGATTGGTTAGACAGGGCTGTATCAAATGGGGATGAGGCATTGATAGAAAAGGTTGAGAAGTTGAAGAGGAAAATCTATGGCTTTGTCATTCAGCATGTTGGAACCAGTTTTGACAATTCCTCCAATCTTTCTTCGTCTTGATTATTGGTCTGCCATGTTTTTAAAACAAGAACGTTTATTTTTGTCTCAAGTTATTTGCTGTATAAAGTTGATCCTTGTGATAAAGTTATGCAGACATGTATTTTAGTACATCAACATTCAAGTTTTTCAGTTGATCGTTTGTTATAGTTCTGTTTTTACAAAACAAACTAATAACTGATTAATAATAGTATTTGATGCCATTATTTTCATTAATTTTTAGTTCATTGTTATTATTTTCTATCATTTGGTAACAAAGAATTCTGCATTGTTTTAATATAATTAATATTATCTTGAACGATTATTTTTTAAAAAATTTCACGTCATGAATAAGTTTGTATATTTTTGTTAATGTTAAGGGCAAAGTATACAAATAATCCCCAAACTTTTAAGCCGTCTTGCATTTTGATCACTTAACTTTTAAAATTTGCAATACAGTCACTGAACTTTTAGTTTGTTTTCAGTAAGGTCCCTGATGTTACCCGCATGAGTTTTATCTGACGTGGCGCCTTAAGTCATGATTAGAAAAGTCTTTTAAAGAGTCTCATGTATTTTCCCTTCTCATGTGCAGCCGCCCAACAACATTGCAGGACAGAACAAGGGATAGCGACGAAGATGATCTTCATGATAGAAATTATGTTGTTGCTGCTTTAGCAAATAACCTAAGCCAAACTTTCAGATACAAAATAAATGGGAATGATAATAATGAAGTATGTAGTTTGGTTTTTCTAACCATGTCTTAATTCTCCCTGGGTTCTCTACTAATTGTTTTTATTTATCTGCTTTCAGGAGCATGGTGCTCTTGAGCGAGATGGTGAGGTTAGTTGCAGTTCTTTTAATTAATTGGAGATTGTTTCTAGGTGATTGTTTAGATCAGAACCAAACAAATGGCGATTTTTTTCTCTTCATTTTTTAGCATCAAATCAATTGTGTGTGTGTGTGTGTATATATATATATACGTTTTCAATTTGCAGGACACATACTTTGATGATGAATCTGCTGAGGTTGTCATATCATCCTTGAGGCTTGGAGATGAACAAGGAAGGTGAGCTTGTCATCTTTACCCATAGTAATGAAGTAATTAGTTGGTGAGGCTCATAATGCACCACCTGATGGGTAGTTTTGTTGAAGAACTTCCTAGTCCCTTGGCTTTCATAAATGTACAGTTTTATTGTTTTGTTAAAGCAGTCATGCTAATGGAGATTACAACCCATGTGTTTTAATGCAGTCTGTTCACAAATTCGAACTGGTTTGCATTCGAAGATGACAGAATCGGTAATGCACATGCGGCATCATCCCCCACAGAGGTGATGAATGGCACCACGAATGGTGGTAACAGCGGTAGTGATGATGAAGTGGTAGTTGGAGAGGAAGATGAGTTGAATGATAACAAACAGTCGGTGAATAGCACATCTACTTCCGATGCGATGAATGAATTTAACAATTTTTGTGAGTGGTGGAGACTTGAATCCACTAGGGGAGAAAGCCAATGTAAAAAGAAGAAGAAGAAGAAGAAGAAGAGGGTAAAGTCAGGGACTTCACTGAAAACGAATTAAAAGTTTAGTGACTATATTACAAGTTTTAAAAATTAGGTGACCAAAATGTAAACGCCCTAAAAGAAATAGATTTCTGCATTGTTGTTATTGTTATTATATTCATTAATTTTTAGTTCATTGTTATTATTTTCTATCATTTGGTAACAAAGAATTCTGCATTGTTTTTATATAATTAATATTATTTTGTAGGATTATTTTTTAAAAAAATTCTCACGTCATGAATAAATTTGTATATTTTTGTTAATTTTAATTAACTAATCGGCGTGGTGTTGAAAGAAATAACCGGAACGGGTAAATAGATGAAAGAGTTTTTAGGCCAAGATCCGACTCGACCCAACTGCAATAGAATTATTTTGGTGGTCTATTCTCGAAGCCGTTCATTCTATCTCTCTATGTTTTTATTCCTCTTTTCTGTTTCAATCCAATTTATTTTCGCTTTTGATTGACCTTTCGATCAACATTGCTTAATCGGTATCTTAGAATTGATGCGAAACGGGAAAAAAGAAACTGGCAATAGTGGCAGATCTTGCGAATTCGGTTAGAAGCTGAGAGCAGATCAGTCATTGTCTCAACGTACCCCCTCCGCTATACGTGTGGGACTCTGGACCTTCCTCCGCCTCAACAATGCAATTCCTCTCCACTCCCTCCAGTACCTCAACTCTTTAACAATCCGCCCCTTACCTTCCACCCGACCCGCTTCCTCCATGGACCAACACCGTCTGTCAAACGCGACACCTCCTCCCCACGAAGAGCCCGAGTACATTGCCCGTTATTTCGTCATCAAGCACTCGTGGCGCGGTCGTTATAAGCGAATCCTTTGTATTTCTGACGACGCGATCATCACGCTCGATCCCTCGACTTTGTCCGTAACGAATTCTTACGATGTCTCGACCGATTTCGAATCCGCCATGCCGATTATCGGTAGGGGTGATAATTCTCCTGAGTTTAATATGAACGTGAGGACCGATGGTAAAGGGAAATTTAAGGCGATAAAATTTTCGTCTCCGTATCGGGCAAGTATTTTAACTGACTTGCATCGAATTAGGTGGAACCGGTTGGGACCGGTAGCGGAGTTCCCGGTGTTGCTTATACAGAGACGACATGCCGAATGGACCCTCTTTGTAAGTTTTGCTCTTGCATTTGTTGATTGACTTCGTAAAGTTCTATGTATGGAGTTCTAATGAAAATAGTAGCTAATTTCTTGATTTTGCTCTTATCAGCTTTTGTTTTTAAAATGTAATTGAATTTCTTTTAATTTTTTTTTATGTCGGCATTGTAAAAGTCAATAGAATAAATTCTGAATTAAGGCAGAGTTGATGCAAAGATTAAAAAAGAAGCTGATTAAACTTTAAAGAATTAAAATTGGCTAAGATTTAAATTATTTGCTGTTTATTATTATTTATTATTTTGATTATTTTGAGGGATATTAGTTGTTTATTATGATTTTTAGTATTGAATGCAATTATTGGGTTATATTTAGTACTTAGTTGCTGTAAGGGTTTAAGGTTTAGCCTAGAAGTGCTTATGTCATTTTAGTTTATAGTAGTTGTAGAGTATTAGGAATTATTGGGACTCAAATCAGACATTTTGAGTGTTGAAATTTCGATAATGAGAATGGAGATATTAAAATTAAAGACTTGTATTTATTAAAGGAAAAAAGTTAAAGATCTGACTATTGTGATTTGAGATTAGAGATAAGAGATTTTGGTAATTGAGATTGGATTGTTTTTGAGAATGTGCTTGAAATTAACTGGTTGTAGATCTGTTGTATTTCTAAATTGCAGAATGCACCGGTAGTTTTATAACTGCCTATGCTCTCTGATTAGTAGTGGTTACCTTGAATTTATGTATTGAATTGCCTGTTCAAGCTTTTAACATATGTTTTTCCGTTCAGAAATTGAAGGTCACATATGTTGGAGTTGAACTTATTGATTTGAAATCTGGAGATCCTCGCTGGTGCTTAGATTTTAGAGACATGTCTTCCCCGGCCATTGTTCTACTCTCAGATGTTTATGGGAAGAAAATCGTTGATCATGGTGGCTTCGTTCTTCGCCCTTTATATGGAAGGAAATCTAAAGCTTTTCAAGCTGCTTCAGGGACCACAAATTCTGCTATAATTTCGAATCTGGTATTGATAATATCTTTAATGTACTTTCATCATTTTTTTTTGCATTTGTGAACTTGAAAGAACAAAGGGAGAGGGATCTTGAATTAGTACAAATATAGGAGATAGAATTCATGATGGTTTTCTTGATTACTTTCAGAGTCATGGACTTGGTAGATTTATACTAAATATTGGATACCAATTGTCCAATCCCTTAATGATTTAGTAAACTTGAAATTCGGCTGCGTATACCTCTCAAATACATACGTGCACCCAGTTTTAACTAGTTTTCAGATAACTTTTTTACCTCTATCCCTCAGACACACACACACACACACTCTCTCTCTGTGTGTTCATACAAGAATCCAAATCCAAACCTATTCTCCAAAAATTCTTGTTTTCAACCATAGCATTTGTGTTTCCATTTCTCTTGAAATTCTTCTTGTTCAATGAATATGTTTTCAGTTTCAACCATGGCTTCTTTTACTATATTTTTTACATTGATAATTAATTTTAAACAAAATTTGCAGGCTAAAGCTGCGAAGTCAATGGTTGGAGTGTCACTTTCTGTAGACAAGTCACAATCTCTCACTGCAACAGAGTATATAAAGCAAAGAGGTAATTCAATAAAAAGAACTTCCTTGTTGTTTTCAGACTTTAACTTCCTCTGTATCCCTCTTTTCTGCTTCTCTTTCTCGGATGTAATTCTTATGATGTTTCTTTCATTAATATGCAACTATAAAAAAATTGCAGCCAAAGAAGCTGTTGGAGCAGCAGAAACCCCTTGCGGAGGTTGGTTTGTGACAAGATTGCGTTCTGCTGCTCATGGAACTTTATATGTTCCTGGATTGAGTTTCAGTGTTGGCCCAAAAGGAGGACTTGGAGAGCATGGGGATGCTGTCTCTCGTCAACTCATCCTCACAAAAGCCTCCCTTCTTGAAAGGCGGCTAGATAATTATGAAGTAAGCTAACGACCTTCATCCTCTAATAAAAGTTTTTCGAGTAGATGCTATATACCGATTGCATAACTTGTTTTAACACTTTATCTGTGTTTCACTTAATGGACTTCAACCATTGCTCCAATTGGAGTTATAATTGAAAATTGCCCTTTAAATGAGGCTTACTGAATGCTAGATATGGTCATCCTTGCTAATATGTTAAAAACCAAAGGCAAACTGTGGTAACTTGTAACTGTTCCTTAATTATTTTAACAATAAGTCAAAATCTTTATGTTGGAAAATGTTGCTGCAAAATTACTGCTTTTTTAAATTCAAAATGGGTTAGAATAGAACATGCATCTTTGAATGAGCTAAAGTGCAGTGAGAGTTTACTACCTACATTTCGTAAAAGCAATAAAAGTGTGAAAATGTTAGTTCAACACATAGAGGCAATCCAGAGGTTAATGTTAAAGGCTTAATCTTTTAAGGAATTTTCTGAACTAGGAATTATCAAATGCTGAGAATCTTCCTTAGATGTGTGCAGGCTGTTGTTGTTCGTCCTTTATCGTCTGTGAGCTCGCTTGTTCGATTTGCAGAGGAGCCCCAGATGTTTGCAATTGAATTCAATGATGGGTGCCCTATCCATGTGAGAATAAGTTTTTGTTTCAAAAGCTTAATTGTTTATAGTATGCTCTATGCAACTAACATGTAATCCATGACTTGCAGGTCTATGCAAGCACCTCACGAGATAATTTACTTGCTGCGATTTGTGATGTGTTGCAAATAGAAGTAGGTCTATGTGTTCTATATAGTACACAAACAGGGTTTCTTTTCTTTACATATCATACTTTCTATTTTTAGCTATGGCTGTAAGTTCTATTAGTGCTTGATAAATTAAATTGTTAATGTGGTTTGATTGACCCCTGGCTTGTCCAGGGTCAGCTTCCTGTACCTGTTTTACCAAGGTTGACAATGCCCGGTCATCGCATTGATCCACCTTGTGGAAAAGTTACTTTGCAATTTGGTCAACAGCCCGCTCTTCCTGATATGGAAAGTGCATCCATGCATTTGAAACACTTGTCTGCTGCTGCCAAAGATGCTGTTGCTGAAGGTGGTTCTATTCCTGGTTCAAGAGCTAAGCTATGGCGTAGAATAAGGGAGTTCAATGCTTGCATTCCATATGCTGGAGTGCCTCCTGATATTGAAGTACCTGAGGTTACTGTGATGGCCTTGGTTACAATGCTTCCGGCAACACCAAATCTTCCTCCAGAGTCCCCTCCCCTGCCTCCTCCTTCGACTAAAGCTGCTGCAACAGTGATGGGATTTGTTGCATGTTTACGTAGATTGTTAGCTTCTAAAAGTGCTGCTTCTCATGTCATGTCTTTTCCTGCTGCTGTTGGAAGAATAATGGGCTTACTTAGAAATGGATCTGAGGGTGTAGCTGCTGAAGCAGCAGGGCTTGTTGCATCACTCATTGGAGGTGGTCCTGGGGATACAAATCTTCTAACAGATTCTAAAGGGGAGCAACATGCCACAATTATGCATACCAAATCTGTATTGTTCTCTCAACAGGGTTATGTTGTTATCCTTGTAAACAGATTGAAATCAACATCTGTGTCGCCTTTACTTTCCATGGCTTTTATTGAAGTTTTGGAGGCTATGATATGTGATCCACATGGTGAAACTACACATTACAAAGTTTTTGTTGAGCTGTTGCGACAAGTAGCTGGTTTGAAGTGCCATTTATTTGCTTTGTTTGGCCATCCTGCAGAGAGTGTCAGGGAAACAGTTGCTGTGATAATGCGTACAATTGCGGAAGAAGATGCAATTGCCGCTGAGTCCATGCGGGATGCTTCTTTACGCGATGGTGCTCTATTGAGGCATTTATTACATGCATTTTTCCTTTCTGCTGGTGAGCGGCGTGAGGTTAGTCGACAGCTTGTTGCTTTATGGGCAGA